GTTGGGGTGAAGGACGAGGCCGTGGTTGAGCAAGGGGAAATCTGGGCATAGAGGAAAATGGAGCATGTCCGACAACATTGAGACCAGGTGGGTGAACCATGACTGGCGGGGCCAGTACGGGGCTATCAGGATCACGTTGGCCCCGTCTTGCCGGAGACAGACATTACCCTCTGAATGAGAGGTAGAGGGAGAAATATGTAGAGGACATCATGAGACCACTCCATCAGGAATGCATCTCCCAGAGAGGCGCTGTCCCTTCCTGCTCTGGAGCAGAATCGGGCACACTTCTTGTTGGCACTGGATGCAAAGAGGTCTATTGAAGGTGTGCCCCATCGCCGGCATAGCCGCTGAAATATTACATCGTTCAGAGACCATTTGTGAGTTCTCATTGGAAGCCGACTGAGCCGATTGGCTAAGGTATTGTCATCGGTGGAAATGTGGATGGCAATAGAGAAAACATGGTTGAAATAGCACCAGTCCCAGAGGTCGACAGCTAGGTAGAGCAGAGAAGGGGAGTGGGTGCCTCCTTGCTTGTTGACACAGAAGAGTGCAGTGGTGTTGTCTGTTGCCAGCTGCACTACCTGACCTTGGATCAGGGGAAGAAAGGCATGGAATGCTTTGATGATTGCCAACAGTTCTAGATGGTTTATGTGAAGTGGTAGCTCTTGTGTTGACCAGAGCCCTTGGACTGTGTGTTGAAGACAGTGGGCACCCCATCCCGTGGGGCTGGCATCGGTTGTGACCTCTATGGAAGGTCACAGGGGGGAGAAAGGTCTGCCGATGAGAAGGTTGTCTGGACAGATCCACCAGTCGAGCTGGGAGGATAGTTCTGGTGTTACTAGCAGTAGAGAAGATGGAGAATCTGTGATTCAACCAGTCATCGATGTAGGGATAAATGTTTATTCCCTGCAGGCGGAGGAAGGCGGCTACCAGTGCCATGCACTTGGTGAAAGTCCGGGGGCAGCAGAGAGCCCGAATGGGGGGCACAGAATTGGAAGGCGGTGCCATTGAAATGAAATTTGAGGAAGTTTTGGTGGTCCGGATGAATGGAGACATGGAAATAGGCGTCCCGCAGGTCGATAATTATGAACCAGTCTCCCTGCGAAAGAAAGGGATAATAGAGACCAGTGTGAGCATGCGGAATTTACGGGGAGATATGAAACAGTTGAGGTGAGTGAGGTCAAGGATGGGGCGGAGTAACCTCGTCCTGCAGGGCAGAGGAGTAGGGGGTGTACTGAATGAACCCCAAGGGAGGCAAGTTGGAGAATTCTATAAGGTAGCCAGATGCTATGATAGATAGAACCCATTTGTCTGATGTAATGGCTTGCCAATGATGGAAAAATGGGGCCAGTCTGGTACAGTTCAGTGGGCAAAGAGAAATGTCAGGAAAGGGAAGCAAAAGTAGTTGTCAATATTGCTTACCCTTTCACTGTCCTTTACAAAAGGATTGACATTTACAAGGTAGGCTTTGAGGCCGGTACGATGCCATCTAAGGTTGAGGGGCAGGTAGGGACCTGTCTGTTTGATGGGGTTGGTACTACCTGTAAGGCTGGAACCTTTGATTCTGGTATTGCTTGGGGTGAAACTGGCCCAAGCGGTAAAAGGGTCATTGATAGGAGGTAGAAGGGTGAGTAGAATAAGAGCGCGCAGTCTTGCACTTCTTATGGAAGTCCTCCATGGTGTCATCGGTTGTTGAATTGAACAGGCCAGCACCGTTAAAAGGCAAGTCCTCGATTCTTGACTTGGTGTCATGAGAGATCGTTGAGGACTTGAGCCAGGCATGGCGTCAAATGGAAATAGAGGTAATCAAAGTCTTAGAAGCTGCCTCAGCGGAGTGTCGCACCGCAATCCTCTGGTACTTGGCCAGAGAAATGGCTTGAAAATGGATATTGATGAGATCAGATCTCATGGGCTCAGGGGCTGTATCAATCAGAGGAAGGACTTGGTTCCAAAGATGATGCTGAAAGGCGCCCTTGGTTGCCTGGTAGCTAATACTTCTGAGGAAAAAGGATTGCAAAGAGTAGACTTGTTTCGCCAGTGTGTCAACTTTTCTGCCATCCTTATTGGCAAGGGTAGGTTTGGACCTGGCATGGGTTTGAGCCTGACTGGACTCAACGATGATAGAATTAGGCACTGGATGCTTATTGAGGAATTCGGCAGACACCATGGGTCCTATAGAGGCCATCGGTACGGCGAGAGATTTGCACAGTGGAGGGTTTTTTTCCCCAAGTGTCCTTAATAAGTTGAAGGATAGACTTGTTGAAGGGAAGACTCAAAGGAGTGCGACGCTCCTGGTTGATGTCGTCGAACACCGGGTCGGCATCAGCAGACGGGGCTGTTCGGTATCGAGCTGCAGGGCTTGTACCATTTGGAAGATAAGGGTAGAGTAGGAAAAGTAGTCGTCCGAAGAAGGCGAATCATGGCTATCCCTCATATCTGGAAGTGGAGGAGGCAGCTCAGGCTCATGGGAGGACTCAGGTGTTGTTCCTCCGAAGATGCAAGGAAGCCTGGAGATGAAGGGTAGTCTGACTGACTGAAACCCTCTGTCAAGGGGGCTTGGTGTCGTTGAGTCGGCAGGACCTCGAAAGGGTCTTGAGATGGCATCGGGTCCAGCATTGGAGATGCAAGACGTGGGGGTAAGGCTTTGCGAGCCTTGTCTCGCTTCCGAGGTAGTGAGGTCGGCTTAGATGGGGCAGAAAGGCATGCAGATGAAGCTGAAACTGCCAGAGCAGAAGTGGACGCACGGAGGCAGTTCGAGTCCATAAAGGGGGTGGCATGGGAGAGTTCCGGCGTTCGAGGCCGTTTAGCCTGTTCGGACTGATACCTTTCATACAGGGTTTGCCAGATGTAGAGGTCAAAACACTGATACGGTACCATGGGGAAGGGGCAGAAATCGCCTTGCGATGCCACAGACCTCGGTGAAGAGAGGTACTTTCGTTTTTCCGTTCTCTTCCGCGGAGAAGGGGAAACCTCCGGATCGGATGCCGAGCTTTCAGCTGCCCGCCCTGAGTCAGGGTTGGAATGGGCTGAGGCTGGGCTGGACTGTGGCGCAGCCGCAATGAGGCCAATGCTCAGAGTTTGAAGCGGCATCATGGGAGGGCTGCGACATCATGGGGTTCCTCTCCATCCGAGGCTAAATCAGGGGCTTCTCTGGAGGACAGGGGAAGGTAGAGAAGGCTGAGGGGGCTCCACGCGGGGAAGCCTGTCCTTCCTGAGCTTCTTAGGAGCAGGTTTAGGCTTTTTATTTGGGCCTGGGTCGTGCGCTCGAGATTTTTTAGAGGAGGGCAACTTGTGCTTACCAGACAACTTTGTTTTCTCAACAGTGTCCTTAGCTCGTAGCACAGACGTAGAGTCAGAGGTAGACTGGCCTGTTGGAAGTCTATCGGCTGAGAGGGCAGGAGATCTAGCAGCCTCCGAAGAAGTAGTAGGAGGATTCATGGCCGTTTGCCAAAGGTAAGACCAAAGTCTTTGGAGCCTCTGCTTAAGTGCCGGCTTGGTTAGGTTTTTACAAGTGGGGCACGAATGGGTCGGATGTTCCTCGCCCAGGCAAAAAAGGCACTGGCTATGACTGTCGGAAAGTGTGATTTTATTCGCACAAGTAGTACAACGTTTGAAAGGAGATGGCGAGGCCATAAGCAAAGAACTAATGGGGGGGAGGGGAAGAGGGAAAGGGAAGGGAATAAAAGCCGTGGGAAGCCGATTAGGCAAACAAAAAGATGTAGAGGATCACTAAATAGGCAATAAAACTAAAGATAAACAAAAGTTCAAAAGAGCCTAGAAAAATAGCGAGAAGGCAAATAGCGAAGCGCTCTGTTCTTCCTGAGAACCGTTCAGCTCGGCGGAAAAAAGGAACTGGGGAAGATGGTGGGTGGGAGGAGCATATACCTCGTGGAGGATCACACCATAAAATTGTTACTTTTAGCTCTAGAATCTTCCGAGAGAGTCAGCACAGGTGCAGACAATACCCATATGTATGCATTCACGGACACCACGAAAAAGAAGTAAATATTTTATGATACAAGGCAACATTAGAAGTGCAGTCTTGAAAATAAAGTATACCAAATCAACTAAGTGCTGAAGAACACTATTGAGAGTGTTGAGAAATTTTGTAGGCATTATTTTTTCCCCTAGAATTTTTCAGAAATCTGTACAGTGGGGTCTCTACTTAAGAACTTAATCCGTATTGGAAGGTGGTTCTCAAGTTGAAAAGTTCTTATGTTGAATCTGCATTTCCCATAGGAACGCATTGAAAACCATTTAATCTGTATCTGCTCTTTTCCATCCATAGAAACTACAGTGGAACCTCTACTTAAGAACTTAATCCATTTTGGAATGGTGTTCTTAAGTGGAAACGTTCTTAAGTTGAAGCAAAATTTCCCATAGGAATGGACTGAAAACCAATTAATCCGTTCTGGCTGTTTTTTTGTTATGTAGAGGTGTGTTCGTACATTGAAGCATTAGTTCCCAGAGGAACTAATGCAAAGCTGGTTAATATGTACTCTACCACTAGGGGGAGAATTTTTTTAACCTAAGATCACCTAAGATTAAAAAAAGAGCAGGAAAGTTTTTTTTTCCTGTTCTTATCTTGGATTTCTCTTCTCAAGTAGAAGCAAAATTTAGCAAATGGAGCTGTTCTTAAGTTGGATTGTTCTTAAGTAGAGACGTTCTTAAGTAGAGACCCCACTGTACTATTTTAAAAAGTAAGGTTTTAAGAACAATGTTTGTTTGCGTGGTTTCTCACAACAAAACAGCATGTCATTACTGACTGTGAATACCTCTTCTCTACCATCATATTTTGAATGAAGTCAAGTAGCAAGGATTGATCATTATGTAACATTTCATGACATAACTGGTGATTATTAGAGATTTAAATTACCGAAAGAACTACTGCAATGAGAAAGTTATTTCTTACTGTCATTCCCACTGTATAATATACTGGACTTGACAACAAAAGTAAACCTCTAAGCAGATTATAAGGAAACTACAAATGAACAACTTACCAATTCTATTCCCTGTGGAAAAGGAGTGTCATCCAAATCGCTTACAGGAAATCTCTGAATTATTTTTCCCAAACCTTCCCCTGATCCTATGAAGGGACAAAGGAAAAAAGAGAGCATAAGCATCTAAAACAAGTTTGCGAGCATCAAAAAAGGTTGTCCTTAGGATGATGATATCGTATTTTCTTCTGCCCTGTATAAAGCAGTTGCTAGTTGGTCACCTTCATGACTGTATCAGGAGACAGGTATCTAGTTGTCTCGTGTGCTCCCAGAGGCATCTAGTGGGGCCACTGTGGGATACAGGAAGATGGACTAGATGGGCCCTTGGCCTGATCCAGCAGGGCTCTTATGTTCTCATGACTTTGCCAATGTTGTATTAAACCTTATTTTTATTTTTTTTAAAGAAGATGAAAACGCAGAACTGCATGAAATGCAGCAAAGAGTACTGAGAAAAAGCACCTTCACTTATACATGACAGCAGAGAAAAGTCAAGTTTGCATTGCTGTTGATTCTTATTCACTCATGATTTTCCTGCATTCAGATTAATGAGTCTTGCATTATGCCTCCACTAACTGACATAGAGATTCAACTTAATCACTGCAAATCAGATATCATATGAAAGAACTAATGTACATCAAAACTAACTTTATTGTATTGCATATTATTGCTTTATTGCAGCATTCAACCCAATGGCTTAAATCTGTGTAGGTTTTGGAAGTGAAGAAGTTAAGAAATTATTATAAATGTTATCTTCTACACACTGAGTCCGCGAAACTCAGCATAATGCTAATGGAGACTTTTTAATTTACAACAATTTACATCTGAAAGTTGTATCACTTGTGTAACAACAGGATTTTGGCCAATGTTCTATTTATGAAAATGCAGTTCCATGGAAATTCAGTACTGTACTTTGATGTGGTCTTTATGTGCTTAATCGAGATAGGGGTATTCATAGTCTCCCTGAGCGACTGCTGAGTGGCTAGCTCAGCGGCACTCTGGAGCGATTGGAAGGAAGAGAGGGGCTGGTGGCGGCGGAAGTGTGAGTGGACGGTCCAGCCCCAGGGGCCAGACCCTCATTAACCCCAGCTACATAGGGATATTCGTATTCGTACATGAATATGAAAACCTCCATCTCTAGTACTTAAAGCATTGTAGAGGAGAAATAAGACTAAGGGGGGAAAATACCAGAATGCACACAATGGCCAGAATCCAGTTGGTAGAGCTGTGCCTATCTAATGAAAATGTAAAACACTTTTTAAAAATACATTCTAGTTCTATTCAGTATCTGTGAAAGACTTCCTTCATGCCAGTTATTTTAAGTTGTCTGCATTGCATAAACATATTATTTACATTTCAAAAGAGTACATACTGTATCTTCACATTTAAACCAAACATTATTGCTGAATCTATTTGCAAAACAACCTTTAAAAAATTCAGATCACAAATTAATTCCCACCACCACAGCCACATTCAAGATAGGGACGCATAATTGTACCAATTCTTGTACCTTAACTTTCACCTAAAGTGAATACTGTACTACATCATAATCCTATTAGTAACTAGTGGTGTTGAAGCACTGAAATGACACCACTAGTTACTAATCACAGTTTTATTCAGAATTCAGAAGACCCATGCAATTGATTCTGGGGGAAAGAAGTTCTGTGGTGTTTAATGGGCTTAGTACTAAGTAAGGGTGTTCTCTCTCTCTCTCTCTCTCTCTAATCACCTCAAGGTTAGTGATCTTTCAGGACCTTCCTTGCGTTGTTTTTAAAACAGGCCTCATTTCCACTCCCAAAATACTTTTTTTTCTGAAAACCTTCCCCATTTTGCCATCTGTTAGATTTGGGAAGAAAATTCACTATTTTGAGTTAGTCTATGTGGTGTAGTGACAGACTAGGACTCCTGAGAACTGGGTTCGAATCCTCAACTGGCCATGGAACCTCACGGGGGGGGAAGAGTTGAAATGGTAAAAACACTTCCTAAATATCTCATTTACCTTGAAAGGCACTTAGGGTCACTATAAGTCAGTTCCGACTTCATGGTAAAGAACAACAAAATGCCATTCTAAGTCACTTCTAGTTTTGAAAAAACAAGCCAATCAGCCTAAAACAGCTCAAAACAGCCAAAATGTGGTAAAACTGCATCACACAGAGAGCATGAAGGGGCTTATATTTAATGATGATTTTTTTTCACCATAAAAATTCTGGAGGGACAGCCTGGAGCCCCAACACAACTATCAGCAGCCTGTCGACCGCACTTTGTTCACCTGTACTCAAGAAACCACACTAATCCACAAAGAAGAGAGAATTTTAATTACAGTGGACCCTCTACTTACGGAATTAATCCATATTGGAACGGTGGCTGCAGGTCGAGGGTCCATTGACCTACAATGCTTTGAAAACCGATTAATACCATAACCGGCTGTTTTTGTTCCATTTTTGTTCCATTTTGGATTTTTTCTGGTCTGTAGGTCGATTCTCAGGCTGCAAGTCGAACCTAAATTTTGCGGCCAGAGAAGTCTGTAACTCGAAAAGTCTGTAAGTTGAGCCGTCTGTAAGTCGAGGGTCCACTGTAAGTCTTTGTCTCAAAATATGTCACTCATCAATCTGCTCCCACCCCGAGGACTGGTGTATCATTGAAAGTCTTTCTCAGGGAAGCACTTTCTATGATTGAATGGTGTCAAGACTGAGAAGCAAAACCAATGCAACACCAAGTAACTTCTGTAATTAAATGAGGAAAAAAAAATTCCCACTGATTTCTATGTGGGTGCCACTATGGAAACTTCTTATCACTTTGACTATGCTAGAGCCACTGTATACCACATAAATATTCTATAGTACTTGGAAGAATCTTAACAGAAATATAGTAATATTTTTATATTCTATAGGAAGGATACAAATGTATGGTTCTTTTGATGGAACAGTTCCTATGAGCAGAAACTAGCAAACACAGCAATTCCCTTTCACCCCTGCTTCAAGGCAGAGAAATCCCCATAAGTAGTTGGTAGAAGAGCAACAAAATGCTACTGTGCAATTGTATGCTCTTTCTTCTTCATCCTGATATTAAAGGATATAGTCCTTTTGGATTAAGAAGAGAGTAAAGAGAGAATGTACTACCATGTATTATACTGCACCAATCCCTGCTGCCTCCTCTGTAATACGTATACAATGGGCTCATTTTGGCTGACATTTCTGGCTTTGAAAAAGGTAGAAACTGGGTTGTGCAACCAAACATATGAGGAAGGAGGTTTAAAGTAACAACAAAACTGGACTGCAGCTTAGAAGAGAGTAAGCAGTTTCCCTGTGAGTACACTGTTTCCCCGAAAAAAGACCTAACCTGAAAATAAGCAATAGTATGATTTTTCAGGATGCTCGTAATATAATCCCGCTCCTTCGCACATACACACGAGTGCGCGAGTGCCCCATATGAGTGCCCGCTCCTTTGTCCACGTGCACAATAGAGCACACCCACTTCTCGCATGTGCACGACCGCCTTCCCCAACCAGTCCACGGGGTTAAAAAGATTGGGGACCGCTGATCTACACCATCTTTGTATACTCATTGTTTTGTAATTAACTATTTTCTTTAAATGTCATAAGCCACCTTTGGGTCCTTTTCTAAGGAAAAAGGCACAGTAAAAATATTTTAAATAAATAAATACATATTTCTATATAACAGGTCAGCTATTTCTTACTTTAAGATATAAGGCCATTTTTTTAAAAAATGGCTCAAATATCTCCATTTCCATTAAAAATGCAGCGAACACATCACACACACACATCACACACACACTTTTCAAAAAACATCAGGGCAACATACAGAACAAATTATCCTAGTATTTTGGCATATATTTTGATGACCTGTATTTACTCCTTGATCCAAGAAACAACAACTCACTACAAACTGTAATAAAATCCCAGCTGTGTAAATACATTAAATCATTGACTTTTAACAGTGTTCATCTGATTTCTACAGAATCCTTCACTTGTCCGCTAGTCTCTTGTATTTAAAATCTCTGATGACACTATTTATCCCACACTGTAAATATGCACACGTAAGTGATTTTACATTCTTACACATGGCAACATAGAAGGTGTTAGAAAAAGGCATATGAAGATTTCTGTCAATAGCAAGGTTGGGTTCAAATTCAACAAAGGCTAATAGCAAGTTAAGAGAATGTTCCGTAAGTATTGGGAAGTACATTCCAAACAGCAACTCGCTGTATCAATCAGACTTATTTACCTTCAGATTATAATGGTGTACTAATGAAATCCTAAAATCTTGGACTGTATTTTCTTGGAACATATGTGATAGTAAAACATCCAAAACAAGGCTGGATCAAAATCAAATTTTCAGATCGTAATGTATTGCTAGATCTAAAGCAACATTTCAAACTGAATTTATGTAGAAACCTATGTATAGTTTATATAGAGTAAGGTAAAGGTAAAGGTTCCCCTTTTGAAATATCCAGTCATGTCCGACTCTTGGGGGCGGTACTCATCCCGTTTCCAAGCCATAGAGCCAGCGTTTTGTCTGAAGACAGTTTCCGTGGTCATGTGGCCAGCACGATTAGACACAGAACACCATCACCTTCCCACCGTGGTGGTACCTATTTATCTAATCACATTTGCATGCTTTCAAACTGCTAGGTTGGCAGGACCTGGGACAAGCAACGGGAGCTCACTCCGTCACGTGGATTCTGACCTTGCAGCACAGAGGCTTCTGCGGTTTAACCTGCAGTGCCACTATGTCCCTATTTATGTAGAGTAGATCTGACCATTTAGGAACTGAAAAAAACCCTGTCAAATATATGGAGGACTTTTGAAACAATACATTCATAAAGTTCATCAACATCCTCTGGTAGATGTGGTCAAACAGGAATGGATGAATTTTAATCATGTTACTGATTTTTATATTTTAAATAAGTATATTGTTTTACTAATACAATTTTGTTATATTTAAATGTTGTGAAGTGGAGAAGACAAGTGTGCCGTCCTCAGAGTCACAGGACACTGTGACAGAGAGTGGATATGCAGAGGGTATATTGATAGATATAGAGCCAGAGGAAGTAATACCTGGTCGACCCGCGG